TATATATTAATATATATATATATATACTATTATATATATATATATATATATATATATATATATATATATTATATTTATATATATATATATATATACATATATATGTGTGTGTGTGTGTATATATATATATTAACATACTTAATATATGGAAACATGTATTGCTGAAACTGGCACTGTGAATGCATAGTATTCACAAACTGTACAGAATGGGTGGCTAGGCCTTTGCCTGATCTTGAAAAATGAAAATAGCATTACGTCATAGTCGTCTTCAGCTGTCATGCGGCATGTCGGTACAAGACACATAGTCAAATTTATATCACTTGCCTTCTCCCAAAGCATCAACGATATCCTTTGCGAAAATCCGCCCCGAAAGCGCTGCTGTAATGAACAGTAAAGACTGCACTGTGCGCAGTGACATAGTGCTTGCACTTTAGCAGTTTAGATTGTTTGCGTTGTAGAGTGCTGTTTTAGTGAATTAACTACTCCGAAGTATTGCGAGGGGTGCAATTTCGTAATATGTTGCTATCCTACGACTGTATCTGTCAGAGGTAGATAAATAGGTCACTTTGTTGGATTGTTGGAATCATAAATAGTCAACACTCTCTCTTAAACTTTTTGCTCAAATAGACTCTCTCTGGCAATAAAATGCAGATATAAAGAGGAAGGCGTCAACTGTCAAGGCGTACGATTAACCATGAAGTTTCGAATTCGTTGAACAATACTATTAAAGTCGCCCTCCGGTTTGTGCCATCTTTGTCTTCTCATTGGTTGCTAAGAACGGCGTAACGCGGAAAAGAATGATCACTGCCTGATCCTGCTGAGCCGGTTAGCCCTGAGCCTCTGAGAGGCTGAGTGTCGAGGCCAATACGTTTTGCGATTTTACGTATAAAACATTAAATGTTTTATATTATTTAAATATTTCGGGTTGGTTCTGTATTGAGATGAATCATAGCCTGCTAAATTAAAAACAGACTATTTTTTAAAATACATGTTTTTGGATTTTAGGTTTGATTCTGCACTACATACCGCCTTTTTTTTTAAACGTACTATGTGACTCCGCAGACCTGGGTACTCGTCAATACGGATGTCCTCTCACATATTTCAAAATTATGTACCAGATGCGCCAACTACATAGGGACACTATATAAACGTTAAAACTTTAACTGCTACTTTTTGGATTATAAAAGTACAATAACTTTTATTTGGAACAAAATAATATATATGATTTTTAAATTTGCACTTGAAAAGTTATTCTATAAGTTTGAAACTTTGGGCCTAAATGAAATTTAGCCAATCATAAATGATCAACGAGACACTTGGTAGTTAGCATTAGGTAGTTGGCGCCTAAAACATAAAATATATGTACTCACTGACCTGTATATTGCACCCACTTAATTTGAGAAGGGCTTGTATAGGTATAAAAGATGTCCTTTAACGTAAAAAAACATACAAAAATAAAAGTTACAACTTTAACTTTTTGAGCAAGAGACATATTATAAAAAGACATTTGAGGTCATTTTATGCTATAGCTCATATTCTATTTATTTATTTTTAGAAAATAGGGGGTCATGTATGTATTTAGAATTATGTACTTTTTTTTAAATAAAAAACAACAGAAACCCCCCCCCCCCCAAAAAGCTTAAACAAGTTCTTTTTTTTTAAACCAGTTACAAACAAAAACACAACATATGCCAACCGGCACCACTGGACTCGCTGAGTGAGTGTAAATATTTAGGACAACTTAAACAATATATTTATTGTATATTTGTACCTCGTACCAAAATCCAAATGTGGGGACTGCCTCTGGTAGTAAATAAAAATTGACTGTACAGTAAAATATACGGACTTTATTAGTCCTTTCAGTTATTTACATATATAAATAACGATACTTTATATCGACCATTTTGCATGTTACCAACAAACCCAAACGCTTTCATATACTTCTGTTGTATTTAGGCGCGCGCATCGTATGTTAAAATACTCCTGTTGTACATAGGTGTGTGCGTCGTTGTTAAAAATCTCTTTGTTATGTGCATCATGTGTTAACATTATTCATGGATTCATACGTGCATACAATCAGCCGACCGGTTCACAACGATTATATCTTCATTTGGCAGCCTCTCGGTAGAGGCCAATTTTCAAACTGACAGTAAATAAAGCCTAAATTTTGACATTTATACACATTTTAAGGTATCTTTCTACTAAAGTTTCGACCCAACAATTGGAGGTGAGCCTCAATAACATCCACTAAGACTTGTTATATATTTATACAGCAACGCTGTCCGTTTGAAATCAGCAATGAGGGCTTTTGAGCACAAATAGAATCTGAAACTACATTTGTCTAACCACATCAAAAATCGTAATTCTTCACACCAATAAAATTGGCTTTTCAGCATCTAATAATATGAACCAATAAATTCGACTTTATCGTATTCTACCTTTTGATTGCTCTGGGTATATAATGTTGCCTGTTTTAAAAAATGTCTACATATAGTATCATCAGTATGTAAATGATATTTATCTCTGTATTGCCATGTGCCTGCTGGGCCTCCAGTCTTGCACAATGCACTCTGCAGTCTGCGACTCTGCTGTAAGCAGCTGCAGGCCTGCATCTCGCGTCAGGGCTCGCAGTCGGTATTTATTATTCATATTTCTTTTTGTTTTGTGTTCAATTTTTACTTTAAAACAATACGGCATGGCCTATCCGGCTATCCCGGCTATTCGGGCTATCCCGCCTCGTGTATTTGAAAAAAAACCCCCTTATTTATATTTATATTCTCATTTCTTTACTATTTTACCTGGCCAATGACCATGATGACAAATGTCATGGAAACTGGAAAGTTGGCAACTATATTTGATACTTTTCCCATATGTAGGCTTCTAAATCAACTCTAAAAAGTAAAATACAGAGTAGGAGGCTGTGGTTTTTCACTAAATTTTTAATATTCTATACATTTTAGTAAATAGAGTGAATTTTAAATCTTAGTGTCGTAGCTATAGACTTTACAGCTGTATTTTTATTATAATAAATGTTTAGTATTTTACTATATTTTTAGTGACTCTGTGAGTCTATGAGTCTGTGACTTTTCACTTTATGAGGCTCTTATGTATTATATATGTTTTCTAGAAAACAAATGTGCAAGTTTCACGTGAGTTCCAACTTCTGCCAAGACTACCACATACTCTATTACTCTGCTATAGAGTAAATATGTAGTAATAAGTGGAGAGATCGACAGATCTTCAGCTGACAACTGGTAGTTATACTCTGGGACTGGGTTGGTATACGACAACGACATACACCTCTGAAAAAATGTCGTCGCGACATGTATGACATGTCGGCGTCGTTTACCAACCCAGATTATACTCAATAAAACCCCTACTGTACTGGGAGCGGGCCCAGTGGGGGGCTGGCCGGCTAGGGGATGGGGGAGTTGGGAGTCTGACACTCTGGGTAGTTACACGGACAAATGGACTAAACTGTCCGGGAAAAAAAAGGCTGTCCATGGTATTATGACCTTGACTCAAACCATTTGTCCAACAACCTGTCCGTTTGTTTGGTCCACATTATACACTTTGTCCGGCTGTCCGTAAATGAAAATGGTTGTCCGGACAGGACTTTTCTCGTCTGTTTTCTTAAAAAACAAGTAACAACCTGCCTTCACTTTGAAAAAACCCATCAATGGATGTCCGTCGTTCGATTTGAAAGGTATTTCAAGGACGAGTGACCACGCTTCTACAGATCCATTCATCAACACATCCATGTTCTTCATAGTGATTCCACACTATGAACGGTTTTATTGACAGTGTCAACATCAAGTTTAGTGCTTCCGCTGTGGGAAGATACTTCAAAGTCGACGAACGGGGCTCCACGTTGACAGTAGAGATCAGAGCCGGACTAACAACATTTCTAACTATGGCGGTATGTTGATTGTGTCATATACTTGCATGTTCATCAAAATCATACATAGACTATGAAAATTAAATTTACTTGTTTCAGGTCGATTTGTCCGGAACAATATTTACCACCAGCGATGACAATTAATTCTTGTGAACACTCTACGAGTCAAATTTATTGAATCGGGGTATATAAACAAAAGCCGTGTATGTGGTCAAATTTCATATTCAAATTTTTTTTTTTTACACGAACAGTACATTCTTGCGGTGAATCCGAATATCATTGGAGATACGGGGGATCCCTGTGTAGCAATGGCTGCCGAGTCCGGTACTGACATCGATCCAGAATGCTTAGCTGATTTCAAGCCGTTTCCTCATTGGTGGCTCGTTTTCTCATGGGTGTGGTGGCACGTCTCCCCTTCCTGCTGATGCCCGGTATGGGAATGAACTCGTACTTCGCATACCAGGTGGTTGGCTATATGGAAAGTGGGGCTGTACCATACGAAACAGCTCTTACTGCCGTATTTGTTGAAGGGTTGATTTTCTTGTTTTTAGCCCGCAGTGGATTGCGACAGTACATCGCGGAGCCTATCCCTAGACCCGTTCGGCTAGCGACCAGTGCTGGAATTGGCTTTTTCTTGTCTTTCATTGGATATCAGACCTCCAATGGTATTGGACTTGTCACCGCCAATGCCTCACACTTGTCACACTGGGTGGGTGCGCACCGGAGAACCGTTCTAGCGACTATCCAGTCACTTGTGACACCCAGATGGACTCTCCCTACTGGGGGTTGACTGTGCGAAAATGGAATTTAAGTTTGTTCCTGGGCATCATTATCATTACCGCGTTGTCCTGGATCCCCCATACACCCTTTTCTCAATTTCCAGACACTCCTGCCGGTGATGCGAAGTGGGACTACTTCTCGCAAGTAGTAGACTTCCACAGTATATCCATGTCGGCACTTGCCTTGGACTTCAGTTTTGGCAATCCGGAGATGTGGCTGGCATTAGTAACATTCCTTTACGTAGATTTACTAGATACGACAGGTACGTTATATTCACTGTGCAAGTTTGCAGGATTCATCGACGAATCTGAATCCGCTGACTTCGAGAGCAGTTACGCAGCATTCAGCGTTGATGCAATTGCAGCCATACTTGGATCACTACTAGGCATGTCTCCTGTCACCACAGCCAGCGAGAATGGTGCGGGTGTTATTGGAGGCGGTCGTACTGGAATCACTGCTTTAGTCGGTGTGGTATGCTTCAGTATTGCATGTTTCTTCGCCCCGATCATCGTGAACATTCCCGTGTGGGCAATTGGTCCTGCACTGATCATGGTAGGTGTTATGATGGCTCGCGCCTTGGTAGACATTGACTGGGAAGATCCCATGGAGGCTATCCCCGCCTTTGTCACGACCACTGTGATGCCTTTCACCTACTCCATTGCTTATGGTCTGATTGCTGGTTGTCAGGTCTACGTTATGCTGTATTTAGTGAACGTCGCTTGGGATTGGTCTTTGTGGCTACTCTATAAGTTTGTGAACAAGACATTCAAGGCCGACTGAGAGATGCCTAAGAGGGGTCAGACTCCAATTCCTTACACGGCTAAGAATAAACTGCCGCACTCTTTCAAGAGTTGGAACAAGAAGCAACATCTCAGGAACAAGGCAGGTGTAGAATCCATGGACCAAATGTTTGCACCTCCAAGCAGCACGAAGATAGGCAGTGCGCCTGTAGACGTGAAGGTTGAGGACACAGTGCTCACCCTTTAACGTTACATTGGATATCAGTACAATCAATCACAACTTTAACATTGGATATCAGTAAAATCAATCACAACTTTAGTTATTTAGCAACATCCCCGCTGCAAACACAGCGTTTCCATGGAACCAGCATAAAGTAAGAAAATAAACACAAAAACGGCACGCATATATCTCTCAGTCTTCTGGATTTTTTTTTTGCGACCATATACATTTTTACTACTATTAAATATTGTCAGATTTTATTCAGAGACTCGTAAAGAGTATACATCTGCTATTATACGAGTAAGTATCTCCACACACTGTTTGCAGACAAGGCATGACCGGAAATGCGGTGATAGGCACATAATCATTCTTTATTGCGTTCGTTACCAGTCTTTCCGCCTGCTCTGCTTCTTTAGCTTGTTGAACATTTTCTCCTTCAGTCGCATGGTGTTGGCTTTCTTTTGTCTAGAGATACAGGTATAAAGTATATGAATACAAAGCTTGGATTGGCTTCCATTGGATTTAAAATGTGCTGGTAAGTCTTGCAGCACCCAAACTTTCACTGTATAGCGTCCGTGCACACTATTAGTGCAGTGTTTGATTCATCACATCAACTACAATCGAATCGGAAACAAAGTGAAGACCACTAATACTCGACGCTGCAGCAGTTTGAATCGACCTGGAATTTAGCACATCACCCAAAGGCCAAAGAATAATAACAAGGCCAAACAATTAAAGGCCAAAGAATGATAACGGAAAACTTACAATTGCCGCACTACTTCCTTCTGCTCCTCTGAGGTCTCCTTTGGTACAACGGACGCTTCTTCAATTAGCTGCGTTCGTTAACGTTTAGTACATCGTTGTTATATGGTCGATTCATGCAATAATATGGGATGTTTATAATATTCAGCGAAACATTCATGTTAACATTCATCATACAGGAATGAACATTAAAATTATTATATTAACCATTCATGTTATTGTATGCTACATTCATGTTCTATACCACCCATTTTATCAAAGAGCCATACTGTACAGGCTGTTGTTGTAGGTAGATACATTGGAACTACCAGCCTGGATGGTAATCACGAGGACACCTTCGTAGCCCTTTTGTGAACCCGATTCATCTTTGTACATAGACAGGCAAATCTACAAACTGAGATACATACATATACAAAACCACAGCTAACTGTATATGTGCAAAGCTAAGACTAGAAACACACTCCAATAGCAATAGATGAAAGTTGAACTTATGCCACCGCACATCGGTACGGACAGAATTTGTGTACGCAGGATGTCTTGTGTGCCTACAGTCATGTATGAATGCAGACACATTCTGGGCATACACACTTGGATAATCATCTTCACCCACTCACCTGTTTCAGCTTTAGAAGTGCATCATCGATATTGCCTTTTTGAGTGCGTGTCTTTGTTGAAGTGATGACGAACTCGCCTTTCTTGTTCATGCGTTTACCCTCCTTCAATACATTATACACATACATTTCCGATGTGAAACCGGGAAAAATCGTGAATACTAATCGTTGGTTGTGTTTAGAGTATTTACACCAGGCGTAGAAAAATCGTACAACAAATCAAGTATCCCTATAAAAATCGTGCAACAATCAAGTATCCCTATACACTATGAGTAGATGGCTACATTGCCTTACAGGTTCGCCAAGATATTCTTTTACAATATATATATATATATATATACTTACATGTGTATATTTAATATATAATATACATATATATATAAATATATATATATATATTACTTATACCTGTACATATATGTTGTATACATATATACATATATATATATTTATATATATATATACATATATTTATCTATATATATGAATATGCATATATAAAAATATACATACATACATACATGAATATACATATATAAAAATATACATACATACATACATCAATACATATACATATACACACGCACACATATATATATATATATACATATACACACACATATATATATATATATAAATATATATATATATAAATTGTAACTATATACATACTCATATATTCATACATACATACACATATAAATATAAATATATATATATAATAAT